TGGTGGTCCTCCTGCCTCAGCCTCCTGCTGGGACTACAGGTATGCACCACCACCACCATGCCCAGCTTAGGTATAGATGTTTTAATCTACTTCTTAGTTAAATATTCCTACTCTTAAAGTTCAACTGTTTGGACAGTGTAGCTCTAATTAACACCAAACATGCTTTATAACTATGAAACCCAAAGGAGTAAACAACCACCAAACATTAAACTTGAAACCTAAAACCATAACCAAAACCAAACAAGCAAAACTGTTAAGCACATGACAAACTGGCAAGTGGCCGCTGCAAAAGCGGACTATTATTGTTAGCAGAAGATTGTTACAGCATAAAAAGTATAATGCTTTTTTTTGAGTCAGGTTCTCCCTACGTAATTCAGGTTGGCCTTGAACTCAAAGCAATCCTCCTGCTTCAGCCTCCTGAGTGCTGGAATTACAGGCAGGGCCCATCCCCAGCTCAAGTGGTAATTCTCTGATAAATTTCCAAGTGATTAATCCCAACACACACACACACATCTCCAAGGGATGACCTCTTCCAAGAGAGTCACATACACTTCACAACAGAAAATTAATCCTCAAATAAAAGAGAAAATTAATGCTCAGGAACTCCTCCTGAAACAAGTATTTAAACAAATGTAAGGTGTGCTAATTTATTCGCTTAGCATTGCCACGCTTCTACTGGCTGATACAGTCCACAAGGTACTGTATAGATGGACGACAAGGTTGGTCGGCAGCTATGAACCGTCGGCCAAACGGTGCACGTAGTGAGCTGGTCTTCTGCCCAGCTTTGCCCAGTCCAGTCGCGTAAGTAACTGCCCACGTTTTTAACCCTTTTAGAAAAATATACAGGTGTTCTGGATCCTAGTGTTGGCCTCTCCTGCTCTGTGAGCTTAGCTTTCGATTCTGGTTTTATGTGGTTTCTCATCTTTCAGATCTTACCTTCGGCATGTTTTCCTATTTTTGTTCTGTCCTGGGCTTGTAACTGCTTCAAATTCCTGAGCCTGACATCCCCCACAAGCTCCACCCACATACCTCTGGAAGTCCTAGAGACTCACATCACGGGCACATACCCGATCAGCTAGAAGAACATCTTCCGTAGTCTCTAGCTGTGATCCGTTCATAGGTGAAGGAGCCTCGCATAAAGCCCGAAATTTGCTAACCCAAAACGATTGTACAAGAGTTACCTGTTTATACAGGCTTTTCCCTCAAGGGGACAAGAAGAACCTGCTGGACGAGTTGTCATCGCCGAATTAAGAAAAGCCATGCGTGTGATACGTACTTGAAACCTCTTTCATGTAGCCGTAGCCGTCTCACCTGCTCGGCAGACAGACGCACTGGCCTGCACCAACAGCGGGGGGGACTGAGGTCTCCCGCACCCCGGCTCTGCTTCGTGTCTCACTGTCCACCTTTCCAGACCCGGGCCACCGTCAGCCTAGGAACCTATGGGCACACAAGTGCCTGAGGCACCAGGCACGCACTTACTCAACAAGACTTTGTGTGAACACTCTTTCTTTCGTTCGTTCTTTGTTTCTTCCTTTCTTTTTTTTTCTTTTTTTGACAGGGTCTTGCTATGTAGTTCAGCCTGGCCTCTAACTCAAGGCAATCCTCCTGTCTCAGCCTCCCAAGTACTGGTATTATAGGCATGCATCACCACACCTGGTTGTCTACCCTTATAAAATCTTACTGTGAGTACATGAGTTTGATGTCAGTTTGTGTTAAATTAACATAATTTACATAACATAATATATCATGAGCCCGGAGCTGTTAACCATTTAATTTTTGAGTATCAGCCAGGAATATAAGCTGAGTGGCACAGCGCCTTGCCTGGCAAGCGCAAGTCATGAGTTTGACCTGGTGCCAAAAAAAAAAAAAGTTTTGTTTTGTTTTGTTTTTTTTGTCTTTTTGAGACAGGGTCTCCCTGTGCAGTTCAAGCTGGCCTTGAGCTCACATTAATTTTTGTTTTTTTTTCTTAAAGCTAGAGATGTAGTTCAGCCAGGGTTCAACTCTCAGTAACACATGCACACACGTGTTCACATTGATGGAAATCACCCCAGGCTGGGTGGTGCATACCTATAATCCCAGCTACTTGGGAAGCTGGAGCAGGAGAACCACTGATTTGAGCCAGTCTGGGAAAGGTAGCTACTTAGTGAGATCTGTCTCAAAAACGGAGTGGGGCTGGGGATTTAGCTCAGGGGCACAGCGCCTGCCTGGCAAGCTCAAGGTCGTGAGTTCAAGTCCCAGTGGGGGGGTGGGGACGGACAAAAAAAAAAACAACAAAGGACTAGCCGGGCGTGGTGGTACACACCTGTAATCCCAGCACTTAGGAGGCTGAGGCAGGAGGATCGTTGTGAGTTCAAGGCCAGCCTGAGTTACACAGTGAGTTCAAGGCCAGCCTGAGTCACACAGTGAGTTCAAGACCAGCCTGAACTGCACAGTGAGATCCTGTCTCAAAAAAAGAAAAAAAAAAGTTCAGTGCATTTAAATTTGTCAGAACTCCAGCGCTCAGGAAGGAGGTAGAACCCCCTTTAGCAGGCAGTAGGCTGTACCTCATATTTCCTGAGGAAATTCATGATTTGTCCAAAGTCCTAGCTCACTGTCTATTTTTAACTGTTATCAGTATGGCTGGTCACTGAACTCTGTCTCAGGCCTTTCTGTTACCAGGCTTGGGGAGCTGGAGTCAGTGTCCCGGAGGTGGCTTCTTTGTGTCCTGAGCAAAGAACTGGTCAAGACAAGTGCAAACCCCAGCAGAGTTTTGCGCAAGGTAGGAGCAGAACCAGGCTCTGCAGAGCGGGCTTGGGCCCAGTGAAAGCAGGAAAAGAGTGCACTGTACAGCGTGAGGGCGGCCGCTGAGGAGGCGAGGCCACAGCGGCGAAGGCCCAGCGCTGACTGACCTCTTCGTACCGCCGCCGCTCAGGCTGACTTCAGGGCTCGGCCGTCCTGTGGAAAAGCTGCCCAGGTTCTCAGGGGAAGTGCACACGCAGGCTTTGGGCCGGTTCTGCACAGGTGTCCTGGGAGTTTGTAATGGACGGGTCAGGCCTACGTCCCCAGCCGGCTTTCCACACCCTAATCTCCTGTCTTCCGGCCGCTGGCTGCCTTACTGGAAAGCTAACTAAATACTCTATTTTCCACAGCATCACTGTCCTACATCCTCATCTGTTTGTTTGTTTTTTTCCGGTACTGGGAATTGAACTCACGACTTTGCGCTTGCCAGGCAGGCGCTGTGCCACTGAGCTAAGTCCCCAGCCCCCGTCACCTGTTTATCTAAATTTCAGAGACAGGGTCTAAATTCCCCAAACTGGTCTTGTGATCCTCCTGCCTCAGCCTCTGCTTAGCTGGGATTACAGGTGTGCACCACCATGCCCAGTTTGCAGCCGAGCATTGATGTATAGCCAGGGATTTTGTTAAAATGCAGATTGCGATTCAGTGGCTGTGGGTCTCTAACACACTCACAGGCACAGCCAGGGGTTTTTGTGCACAGACCATAGTCTGAGGGCCAAGGCCTTAGCGTTGTGGCCTGGGCCACAGTGAGTAATAAGGAACTGTCTTTTTTTTAGAGAGGGTCTCAGTCTTACAGGCAGCTAAGTTACGTAGAAATACTCTAGGCAGACGGGGCTGGGCCCTGGAGGAAGTCAGCGCGGAGGATGAGGACAGCTCAGCCGTGGCTGGAGGCGCGTTCCTGGAGGGGCAGGCCTCAACACAGAGCGGACGTGAGGCACCCACACTCCTCCCGGAGACAAGCAGTGATGACCCACATTCTAAACAGGCGGCGGTCACGGGAGAGCACAGAGGCCTCCCGTCCAGGAAAGCGCCCTGCTCTCAACCTGCCTCCCCACTGGGCCAACGCTGCCTGAGCAGCCGCGCCTCTGATCTTCCGGGGTGCCCGTGGTCGAGTCCCCCTGTGCCCCTCTCATGTTTTGCTCTGTGAAACTTCTGTGAGAGGTGGGCTTGTGGGCACCCCACTTTCTGGGTCCCCTGTGTCTCTCTTAGGCAGAAGCTATCTTTCCCTCAGTAGCTGTTTCCTGCTCTTAACCTCTGTTGTTCTTAGAATTTATTCTTTGATGTGGGGGAACATGAACTGGACATATCAGATATGTCGCAGGTTGGAGTTATAATATTTTCTTTATGTCATCTGGAGGTCCTACATTGTCCCAATACCATCACTATGTAGTTTAGGCTGGCCTTGAACACATTATGTACCCCAGGCTGGACTTGAATTTGTGGTGATCCTCCTGCCTCAGCCTCCCAAGTGCTAGGATTACAGGCATTCACATACATCTTTTTTTTTTTTTTTTT